CGTACACGTAGTCGAGTACCGCGGCTAGCGCCGCCGCCGTCCCTGTCAGCCCCGCGCCGGGCGCCTCGGGCACCACGGGCACCACGGACAGGCCATGCTCCGGCTGTCCGGTTGCGAACAGGCTGCGGAAGTAGGCGCTGCCCGCGCTGAGCGCGGCTCGGTGGCATGGGAAGTCGCGGCCCCCGGCGCGCAGCACCACGTCGGTGAGGGTGCGGCTGCGCCGGTAGGCGTTGAGGGTCTGCAGGACGCGCTGCGCGTGGCAGGAACCCGCGCACGGCCCCTCAGCGCCCGGCTCTGACTCCTCCAGCAAGGGGCCCTCTAGCATCCTGCTGGGTAGAGAACAGCACAAATAGCGTCGGAAAATTCACCTGCCTGGGGCCAAACGGGCAGGAGGCCCCTCATCACAGGCAGGCGTGAAGGTAAGCAGTGTGCTTTCGTTCAACTACTCTTCCTTCCACTCTCCTACCCAGACTCCTAATGGCAGGCTGCAAGGATCTAGTAGGCCCTGCCTTAGCTGTAGCACCTTTTCCTCACCCACTTCAGCCGTATTGCCCTTCCTGCTTTTCAGATTTGCCAAGCTTTTTCCTATTAGTATTGACAGGAGACAGCTGGCACGCTTTCATTTGGGGTAATTTGAAGAGGGTCCAATAAAGGAATGATTTCAAAAGTGTAGACAGTGTTTAGGGACTCCCACAAGGGACGCGGCAGTACCACGTGGCTACCAACTCCAGGGAGTCATTATCTCTCCCAAGGTCTGAAGGGGCTGGGAGGCTACTGGACCCTGTACAATACATCTGTATAGGGAAGGGTCCCTGATAGGAGCTGTAGCCTTTGGTCAAGGAATTCAGGATACCCTACAGAGACCCAAAGTGTGTGGAGCGGTATAACACTACCTCCATTTCCTCACCCCATCCTGTCTCAGGCCCATCTCCTGCCCATCTCCTGTAGGTGCTGCCCGTTGACCAAACCCTGATTGTGTGTTCCATTTAATACCTGCCCCTCCCCCAACAGCAAGGCTCTGGCCCATAGCAGGTGCTCAATACCTGTTCAAAGTCGAGTGAATGTATTAAATACGTATGGAGAACATTTTCTGTGCCAGGCAGTGAGCAAGGCAGTCATGGTTCCTTGCCCTCTAGGAGCCCATAGTTTGGCGGGGCGGGGGAGTCCCATGGGAAGTATAGAATATTAGGGGAGCTCTTAAAAGGGGCACTAAACCCAGTTGGAGGGAAGAGTCAAGGAAGATACCCCCGAGGAGGGTATCTTTGGACTGAGGATGGGTAGAATTTGTCAGATGAAGGGAGGGAAGTGGAGGGAGAATGTCTCCAGCTGAGAAAACAGCCTGTGCATAGGCCCAGGGAGAAGGAGAATATGAGGTTAGAGCCCAGGCCGAGAGGGAAGTCGGCACTCTGTTCCCAAGGAAGCACTGTGGAAAAGTAGAAAAGGGTTGGCTCTAAGGACTGATCCGGGTTCTAATCCTGCCGCTAACACTGTGTGAGAGTCAATGTAAATCACCTGTGCAAATCACTTCCCTTCCGTTTCCTCTTTTGAAATGAGATCATAAATGCTCACCTCACAGAGTTGTGATTTTGTGACTCTTAAATAGAATGTATGAAAAGTGCTAGGTGCATAGTACAAATTCAACAAATGTTCTTTACATTGCTTTTAGTCAAGAGGAAGGGAACACACTTAGTTGCTTTTTTTGTATATAATTTCATTTGATCCTCACAACCCTGAAAAGTTTCTTTAGAGCCTCACCCTTTTTAAGTTTGTCATGTGCAAACAAGTACACAGAGGGAACCTGCCTTTCAGAGGTTTCTGTGAGGATCAAAGGAGGGGTGTTTGTGCAAGCACTCTACAGACTGAAGGGTTGTACTGTGTCAGTCATGATTTGGCCGTTATAAACATACTGCCTCTGCTTGCACACCTCCAGGAACAGGGAGCTCACTCCTTTATGTGGTAACTTACCCCAGGGGAGCATAGCTCTGGCCAATGCCCCCTTGCCTCTCCCTTCACTCTCCTGATCCCAGATGCTTTCCCTTCTCTGATACCACTCTGCCCTGGAGATCAGATTTGCCCAGGTCATACTGGGCAGTGGATCCCCTGCCTCAGAATCACAGTAAATGAGCTCTCTGGTGGGCAGGGTCTTGGAAAATTAGCTTTGCCTAAGTAGAGGGACTAGACACTGCACCTGGCTTCACACTCTGCAAGCCCAGCAGCTCAGCCACATTTGCTAGAGTGGGGGCGTGTCCCAAGGAGCAGCCTGGGACCAGCTGAGGGAGGTGAGAGAGGTTATCAGAGCATGCTGCCCCCATTCTCCTCTTCCTGAACTGAGAAAGCAGCCACACTCTGAGCTGAGATACAAGAGGGTAGATCTCAGCATGAGGAGGAACTTCTGCCTGCAGAGATGTTGTAGGGCACTAGGGGCTGTTAGGGCGTCCTCTCTTGGGAAGTGCACCAGTACTTTTTCATTCATTGTACAGCTGTCTACTGCTCTGGGCACTGGACACACGGGGACCTCAGACCCAGTTTCCACCCTGGTTATTCCCATTCTGGAAGCTGGAGGGTGCCCAGTTGGAACATGGAAGGTAGGAATTCCAGGCAGGGCTCGATCCAGCATTTTCCCATTCCAGCTAAGAGTCTAGGCATCTCAAGCCGTAGGTCCTGATGCAGACTGAGGCACCCAGCCCCTAAACGTTGACATGCCACCCTGCCTGTTTTACACACCCACTCACACAAGCATGCTTAGATTTGTAGACACCACACAGGACAGCCCTGTGTCCTAAGCACTTACCTGGCCACCCCCTCTCCCAGGCGCCCCGAAGCTGCTGCTCTTGCAGGGACCATTCCAGTCCGTCCTGCCACCGGAACCCCTGGCAGCCTGGGATCCAATGTCCTAGCTGCTGTGCCTGGACCGCCGCTCACGCTCAGCTGCAGGAGGACAAAGGGGCTGGACGCCAGGGGGAGGGGAAAAGAGAAGGGGGAGGGTAAGGGGATGCTGGGCTTTTGTTCCACTCTTGGCCCAGACCTAGAAGGAAGGAAAGGAAGGAGGAGGAAGGAATGAGCATAGAGTTGACTACAGGCAACTCAGGATCTGTGTGCCTGGATTGGAGTGACTTGGCACTGACTCTGCCCCTGAATGATACACAGGTGTGAGGGTGGGTGCGGGGAGGGGAGCGCCAGGGGAGTGCCTCTCTTGGGAGATGGTGTGAAACCGTGAAACCTGGTGAATTGTGCTCTGGGGTACCTGTATGAGAGTGTGGGAAGGGAGTGCATGGGACTCGGCAGCTGCGTAGCATTGGTGTGAGTGTAAACTTGTAGGTGCAGGTGTGACTAAGAATGTGCCTGCATGGCTTAGAGATCTAGGTTTCCTTCCTGCCCCTGTGTGACTGCTGTGTCTGTGTTAAGGCTGATAGCAGACATCATTGTGGGACTGTGCATCTGGTTATATGCCTTGTGTGTCCCTGTCTCTTTGTCTGTGTCTCTGTGATTGTTCATTTCTCTGTGTGACAGGTGTATCTTTGGACAGAGAGAGAGAGTGTGTATGTGTATGATAGGGGTCTGTGTCTGTGGACTGTGTGCTGTGTGTGGACATCCTATGATCCTCTGTGCTATGGTATGAGTTGAGGTGTACCTACCTTGGAGCGGGTACAGTAGGACTGGTGTGGTGGTTCTGGGCTTGCCTGGCCTCCTGGAGCCAGAGGGAAGCCACGCCATAGACTGGTGCCAGATCATTTGCTGCCTCTACAAAGGGCCCCAGGGCCTGGTGTCCATGTGGCAGGTGAGGGGATTTGGCTTCATGGAAGAGGACAGCAATTTGGAAGGAGGTTGCCTTCATGAGCTCCAATGGGCCTGAGGCACCTGTGGTCTCTTCCGGGTGGTTGCCTAGACTTGCTCCGCAGCCCTAGGCTAGCCCCTCCCTTGGGCCTGGCCTTTTATCTCTATGGGAGAGATAATCCAGATTCTTGCTCTATTTTACAGAAAGCCTTGTGCCATGAGTCTTTGAGGCCGGAGTGCTGCAGGGACCTGTCCTGGCTAGGCTTAGGTAGACCAAGTCTGTGGAAGGAACCCTGATGGGAGGGGTCGCCGTGACTATGGCCAGGTATGTGTCCTGAGGCCTTGGCAGAGAATGGACCCTGCTCCAGGGAATGGTTTATCCCCCTTCCTAAAAATAGGATGGCATGTGTTGCTCTTTGTTAAAGGATGTGAGAGAATTAGGCACTTTTTAAGAACTATTTATTATTTATTCCCATCTTTCACCCCCCTTCCCACTGGCAGCCATCAGCTTGTTCTCTATATCTGTGGGTCTGTTTCTGTTTTGTTTGTTTGTTTAAGATTCCACACATAAGGGAAATTATACAGTATTTACCTCTCTCTGTCTGACTTATTTCACTTAGCATAATCCATCCATGTTGTTGCAAATGGCAAACTTTATTCTTTTTTATTGCTGAATAGTATTCCATTGTATATATGCACCGCATCTTCTTTATCCATTCATCTATTGATGGACACTTAGGCTGCTTCCATAACTTGGCTATTATTACTAACCTGCAATGAACATAGGGGTGCATGTATGTTTTCAAATTAGTGTTTTTGTTTTCTTTGGATAAATATCTAGAAACGGATTTTCTGGATTGTATGGCAGCTCTGTTTTTAATTTTGTTATTTATTGATGATAACCATTCTGATAGGTGTGAGGTGATATCTTATTGTGGTTTTTTAATTTGCATTTCCCTGGTGATTAGTGACGTTGAGCATCTTTTCCTTGATGGTTGGTCATCTGTATGTCCTCTTTGGAGAAATGTCTCTTCAGATTCTCTGCTTATTTTTAGATCAGTTTGTTTGGGGGGG